TATATTTGGAATTTAATGAACTGAGAATGTGATTTCAACTATTTTATGAAACTTTCTTAAAAACTCCAATTTGTAGACTTGGAAATATAATAAAAGTTACAGCAGCTTATACGGCTTGTGTGTTTTTTACATAAAGCTTTTGAAACAGCCCCCGGACCAGCATGCAGGTGGTTTCAGGGGAGCGGGGCTTCCATCTGTGGCCAGATGTGCCCTGTCAGTTAACTAGGAGTGGGTTCTCAGGCAGCACAGTGGTGTGTCCTTGTTGAAATGAGTCTGGAGGGCAGCGCTAGGAGCCCCGGTGTGGCGCTGTGGTATAAACACAGGACTACTAACTGCAAAGTTGATAGTTCAAACCCACCAGCTGCTCCTCAGAAACCCTATACAGGATCGCTACAAGTCGGAACCGACTCAACGGCACTCGGCAACAGAGCAGCCCCAGGAGCTCTGGTGGCGCAGTGGCTAAAGAGCTCAGCTGCTAATCAGAACTGTGTCGGCAGTTCAAACCCACCAGCTGCTCTGCGGGAGGGCAATTCTGTGCTGTCCTAATAGGGTTGGGTCGCTATGAGTTGGAAACTACTTGAAGCAGCAGGCTGGTGTAGGACAGCCCCCTGGAGGTTGGGGGGAGACTCTTGGTTGCTCTGTAGGTGGCTAGTCTTTCATTCTGGGCTAGGCTGTAGGCTAGTCTTTGCATTCCTTCTCCCAGAAACCCTCAGAGTAGGTTATGTTCCTGTTTTATAGAGCGGGTGAGTGAGACTGAGGACATGGCCCAAGACCACTCCAGCCAACTCTACTTTTCCCCTCTGAGCTTCCTCAGGACCCAGCCTTCAGAGGAACCCAGGGAGGCCCTGGGACTGTGGGCTTTGTTTGTGCCGGGCACGACTCATCTGGTGGTTCCGCCCTCATTGTGTATGCATGTGAATGTGTGTGTGGGTGTTTGGACGTGTGTGCCTTCCCTAGTGTGTGCGAGAATGTGAATGTGTGTGGGTGGGTGGGTGTGTGCATGACTGTGTGTGCACATCCAGGTGTATATGTGTAGGTGTGCATGGCACGTGAACATGTATATGTGTGTGCACATTCGGGTGTGTGCGGGCATGTGAATGTGTGAGTATGTGCATGCCCGGGTGTGGGCATGTGAATGTGTGTGTGCATGTGTGTACACCCAGGTTTGTGCTGGCATGTGAACGTGTGTGTGTGCATGCCTCGGTGTGTGCGGGAATGTGAGTGTGTGTATGTGCCCCGGTGTGTGCAGTGAATGTGTGTGCATGCATGTGTGCACACCTGGGTGTGTGTGGGCATGTGTATGTGTGCGTGCCTGGTGTGTGCATGTCTGGGTGTGTGCAGGCATGTGAATGTGTGTGCACACACGTGTGCTTGATCTGTGGCCTCAGATGTTCCTTGTCCCTGATGTGTCCCATGCCCTATAACTGAACCTGGCACATACCACTACCAGCCTGTCATTTCCAGCTCATCACAACCCTACAGGACAGGGTAGAACTACCCACAGGGACTCCCAAGACTAATCTTTACGGAGGAATCCCGATGTGGTGCTGTAGGATAATGCGCTGGATTGCAAAGGTCAGCGGTTCGAGATCACCAGCCGCTCCTTGGAAACACTACTTGATGGCACTTAACAACAACAACCTTTATGGAAACAAACTGCCCCAAAGTTCTCCTGTAGAATGGCTGGTGGGTTCGAACTGCTGACTTTGTGATTAGCTGGTGAGTGCTTAATCTCTGCACCACCAGGGCTCCTCCTGCCTGGCACAAAGCGGGTCCTTAACCAAGACTGATTTTTTCCTTTTTATGTTGAAGTAACAAAGTGTTAACCAATTTTAAGTGTAAACTTCAGTGACATCCATTTTATTTCACCATGTGCAGCCGCTACCACCGTCTGTTTCCCAAACCTCTTCAGCATCATCCCAAACAGAATCCCAGTGCCCCTTGTTCTAGGGGGGAAATCCCAAATACAAATGCATCTTACAGAGACCCCTTAATTAAGTCTAAACTGGACAAAGACCAATGGTCCAGCAGAGGGAGACTGCAGTGGTACCCGCAGGACTCCTGGCCCCACGGAGCCACATGTTATTGACAGAGAACAGAAGACAGAGAATTCAGCATCAGATCATGACTGGCAACAGGTCAGTTCATCCATGTTACAGGCAGGACTGTGGAAGCCGGAAAGAGACCATGATTGGAACACACGTATATTATACATTTTTATTTACAAGATTGGTTCTGGGGCCTTCAGACCACCTTGATCTGGGTTTGTCTCCTGCCCACACAGCTCTGGTACCCCAATTGCCACGAAAGGTGAGACTGCCCCTCCCCAGCTGGCTAGGGGGTGGGTGGGTCATGGGGACCCACTTTCAAACACTCTGCCTGTGGATAAA